TTTTGCGATTGCCAAGCTGATTGCCAAGCAACAAAAGTGAAAAGTAATAACACAATTTCATTAAAAGTATATAAGTGTAGAAATTTGCAGGTATTAATAACAAAGTCATAAAAATTTGTACGCAAATTGTTTCTTAAATATTATTAAATTAATAGAATATAATAAAAACCTTGCCCGAAGTTATAATACCCCTTATAAGGGCATTCCTTGAAACCAATATGATATAAAAATACGATAATATTGATTTGATCGGCCAGTTTGTATGAGAACTATATGCTATTGTAGTTTCATCTGAACAATTTTTTCGGGGATCGTACCGTTGCCTGTCCAAATTTCGTGTGTGTTCCCTACTAGGACTTCATGTTGATTGGTCCGTTTGTAGGCCCCGGTAACGTGCTGTTTCAACGGATCATAGGGGGATTTGTGTTAGATATGTAGGGGTAGCTGGGCATGCAAAGAGGTGGTGAGAGTCAGGCGGCGACTCGTTGCATGCTGGATATGTATTTGGCACGATGTCAGTTTAACCTGCTACAGTATCCAGAATAAAGCTGCGAAAGAGTTTATTTTGTATGGCAGTTTCGATAACAGCAATTCCGACAAATGAGCAGTTTCTCAGCTAGAGAAGAACTTGTACAAAATTTTAGATCCAAATCTCGACAACTTCACGTACTTACTTACATACATATGTATGTATATACAGAGTGACAGACGGATGTGGCTAATTCAATTCAGCTTGAGTTGTGTCTGAGAAAGCGCTTGTAGTCAATCTCAAAGCGCAAACAAACATGTTTAAGAGTAAAACCATTTAAATAAATTGTTTTGGTAATTATTTTGTTGAAGGCCGCCAGGTTATTGGACATATACAAGTTGTATAGCCGAGTAGAATTCGTTCACCTACAAAAACAAAAAAAAAAAAAAAAATACAGATATTCCTATCTACATACTATGTAGACATAAAAAAAATATTTATATATAAATATATATGAATTTCTTTGTACGTATGTATACTATGTTTAACCTCTCTTTTTAGTGTAATTGAATAAAATTCGGTGAAATGTCTCAAATTTAGCTGCTACAATCATTTTTCTCAAACCTATTAATATACTAATATGAATTAAATATTTTTGTATGTCAATAAATGAATAAAAATGTTTAGTAGCATTTTTCATCGTAATTTTTGGTTGCGATTTCCATTTGATTGTTTTTGCTGAGCAACTGAAGATATTAATATTGCTATAACATTTAATGAAGTGTATATCTTGACATTCAATAAAATGTATATCGATATATTCTATATATTGCATCCTGTTTATATTTAATATGGCAATCTCTGAGCATTTTCGTTTTTAATTTTGATTGTTGTCGCACAGTGTCATAATTCTTAACAAATATTACGCGAAGTAGTCTGAATTAAATGAAAGTAATTGCAAATCAGCACATATTTTGTGCTTTGGGCACATTGACACTCTGAAATTTGATTACCGCTTACTTGTCATTTATTTTATTGCATCATAAATTATGTAGTATCAATATATTTTCTTTTTATTAATACAAAAGTTTTTATGGTACCTATGACACTTTGCACTTTTTTGTTAATTGTTTTTTAGTAAATATTTGAGTGCAAGTGCGCAGGTAGAATTCTCCTTTTTTTATTATAGTAATTTCTTGAATTTAATATTTATATGTGTGTTTAATTTGCATGGTGTTTTTTAGAAACAATTGTTTGAACCTTCTAATCACTACTGTGCTATCAATAAATCATTCCACCACCTCCTCTTTATTTACACATTTCCGATATTTATAGAACCCCACTATTTTATGCAATCAAATGTCTGTGTAAATAAGCATATTTGTCTACACCTTGCTAAACTTTCCTAACAACATTTGTTGTTGATTTTGCACTTTATTTGTTCACCACTCGCGGTAGTCGCCCAACTGCCATGTGGCCTGAAGAATTTTCTATGCAACTTACATACAAGCATACATATCGTTGTACGCTTACTAGCGTGGACTGGTGGCCCCGTTTGTATGCTTATGGGCGTAGATGATTCATTCATAAAAATGCGCCAAAGCCTCTTCTTCTTCTTATTCGCTTCCACTACTTCGCTACATATACCATACACATACATACATAAATATGTATATACTAATGCAATTCTAGATGACTCGACTTTTCGCCGTTGACGTATGAATGTAGGCGGCAGTTGTAATGGCACAATAAAGCACTCATGCCATATCCATGCACACACACCAGCCGGAGTATTTTTGCACGGCATTCCAACCATTAAGGAAAGTTTGTGTTTACTTGTGCTTAATGTCGTATGATTTTATTTGTCGAGATTCTTACAAAGTTGTATACCTGGAACAGTTTCTATTAAGTTTAGCATGAAGTTCGTAATATCCAGAAGGAAACGCTGTGGACCCTACTATACATAATATAAATGATCAGCATGATGAGCTGATTTTATATATATAGCAATTTCCGTATGTCTGTCCGTCGCTATATACGTGAACTAGTCCCTCAGTTTTTGAGATATCAAACTGAAAATGTGCACTTGTCCTTTTCTCCCCAAGACGCAGTTCATTTGTTGTAATTGCCGAACTTAAAGCACTATAACATATACATACATACATAGCTGTTATATAAACTGACCAAACAAAATATAAATAAATATATTTTTATACCCTTTCGTGCTATAAGAACGGACTTGTGTGAATGGTGTAACAGCCGCAGTGAAGTACAAATTAAGTTTTTTCTTATTATTTTTTATCTTTGTTCATTCATTTTTATTTGGGAGCAGTGCCGCCTTTGTATTCATATGTAGGCTGTTTGCATGAAGATACATACGTACATATGTATGTGCGTAATATACACCCCCGCATAGTTTTCTTTGTTGTTGTTTTGTATACAAATCAGATGACATTTCTAAATATAGCATATCTGCTGATGCTGTGGAATACTTATTGCCGGATGGTGAGAGTGCGGCGGTAAAGTTCAATAGATTTCTCATTTATGTACCAAACCTATGACGTAATGTTCATTTTATCTGCTTTACGACGAGCACATATAGAAATTTGTAGTTTTATGCTGTAAAGCTGCAATTTGTTTTATATGTAAGGTTAGGTCTGACCATTAATATAAAATGTGATACATTTGGGCGGCTGCAAATAGAATATGAGAATAAGAGTTAAATAGAACGATATGCCCGGCGAACTGTATATATAGTATACATAGAAGAAATATGCGTTCGTTCTAAAAAATTTTTTCTATGAAGTATTTTGTGCTGATTTACATATATTATCCCAATTATTAATATACTTATTCTTCACAATTAGTACGAAATCAAAATTGTGTCAAACCATATACTAAATATTTTCTTATTTCCAATATCTTTCACAGGCCGCAACGGTGACTCCAACTCTGAGGACGAGTCCTTCAATGATAATGCCAGCGTGTATTCTTACGTTTCTGAGAATGCACCCTCATCCATAAACGATATGGATGAGCTCTCATCCAATGAACGTTACGAGGAGAAATTCATGCAAGCGCTCGAAAATGCTACTGAAAAGTCTGCACAGACACGCACCACAGCTTTGCAGAATATCTGTGAAATTCTCATGCATCGCTATATGCCCGATTTCGTAGACGATCGAAAGGTGACATTAATCGATTGCATTGAAAAATCCATACGACGTGGCAAAGGCGCCGAACAGTCGGGCGCTGCACGTCTAGCACCTTTAGTGGTGCTACAATTGGGCGGTGATGTAGAGATCTCAAAAGAGTTGAACCAGTGTCTGTTGACCACCGTACAAGACAAGGCTGTCTCATTCGATGCACGTGCCAAATGTTGCACCGCTTTGGGTCTATTGAATTTCCTCGGTGGCGAGGATATTGGCGATCTTATCACTTTAATGCAATTTTTTGAAGGCATTTTCAGCGCCAGCTATTTGCGTGGTGATGAAAAATCACCAGTATCGGTGAATGCTGAGGCAGGCACCTTACACGCCGAAGCACTGTCCGCTTGGGGCTTACTGCTGACACTCATACCGTCGGGTGACTTCGTCTCGCTCATGACCAATGGACAGCCGATGTTGCCGTAAGTTGAAATGTTTTAATTTTTTGGAGTACATTTAGATAATATTATGTATTTCATATTTTTAGTTCGGTGAAAAAATTGATGGGTCTATTGCAGTCGCCACATTTGGATGTGCGCATAGCAGCTGGTGAGACCTTAGCATTAATGCTGGAGTGCGGTCGCGCACATGATAAAGACTTCTTGGAAGAGTATCTCGGCGATTTGATCGATGCTGTTAAAAAGCTAGCCACTGATTCACATAAATATCGCGCCAAGCGTGATCGCAAAGCTCAACGCGCTACATTCCGTGATGTGCTACACTATTTGGAGGTAAGTTCAACATTTTATATTATTGTTTTTCAACCAGTGCTAAGAGCTGCTTATAATTTGTTAGTATGCGTAGTGAAGAAGTATGCAATGGCTGACTGATATTCAGTGGTAAACTGGACGATCAGAGTCAAATGCTTCTATGGAAAACAATATCATTATGGAGATTTCTTCAGCAAACTTGGTAGGGGTTATTTTTCTTGTCGTTACGGTTATCTAGTCCCCTTTAAGATGGTAAGGTTCAGATAAGTTGTAACCGAGGTCTTCCAATGGTCCAAGCCGTGGAAACGTGTTGTTTCGACAGGTTCGGACCATAGATATGGTTAAAGTCATGCGGGAACTTGTTATCTAAGGTGGTGGTGCAATTCCCGACGAAATTATTCAGATCTGACCACTTTGCATATAACTGCCATCAAAATTCTTCGATCAAAATCAAGTTCCTGTATGACAATTTTTTTATTCTTGCTTCTGTGCAACTGAAGTAAACGTTCTTAATTTAATTGACTACCGAACTTTAAAACAACGCTCGTAATATAGAATTCATTCTTCAAAATATTCACTATTTATTTTTAAATAATTATATTATATTGCCACTATCGTATGTCGCTAGCATTAAATAATCTTATAATAAACAAACTTTAATCCAAAATATTAGTTTAACAATTTATTTAAACTCAAATCCCTTTTCGATTTTTTTTTTCAAAAATATTGTTATTCTAAAAATTTTACTAAAATTTCCTTAGTGCCATAACATTGAGCAGAATAGTGTAATTGCAACTTGAATATCCAGCAGTTTACATATGTACATAGCCTTAGGAATTAAACTGCAAGGTCGCATTAACCAAACTGTCAACCAAAAAATATTCACAGTCGCTCCGACAATAGTGACAACACTGCTGACACTTATCAAGCATATGTATAAAGCAAAAAATAAAACACGTTAAAAACTTGAGTTCAGCATTCCGCACACTCTGCACTCAGCGCACATGATTTATGCACATATTAAGCAGCGGATGACGGCAGTGTTTGCCATTACTGCCGCACTTGCTGTGATCATGTATATTATTTTTCATAATAACACAACCATTGCGGCTAATCGTTTCCATATACTCGGAGAAGTTGGTGCGCGTCACAAACGCTTTGCTGCGCCAATGCGAATTATTGCCACTATTTATGAAACGTGCGCTGTCCGTAAAGGAGATCTTGAACGGCTTGTACGCGTGCTCGCAGGGATCTGTGATGGTTGGATTAGGTGTTTGATTGTCCAATTCCTTCATTACATTGGCGCGGAAGACATCGCAAGCGCCCACTTTCTGCAGTAATTTCGTTGCGTTGAGTTTAGCGGTGTCATCCTTCTCTTTGAGACTCTCATATATACCCTCCGGATATTCGTTCATATTACAATAATCAATTTGATATGTGGTAAAGAGCCGTTGACGCTCCAAACGTCTATTCAACTCATCTTTAGGCATTTGCTTCAGGCGATCATACAAATCCGGATAGGCAGTGCGCAGTATTTGCAAAAAACGATTCGGTTGCGCTTTAAAGCAATCACCATCCGTGTCTTTGGCTAAGTTGTCGGCTTGTTCTGGTGTCAGTTTGGTCGGTATGATGCGTGGTTCGATGAGTCGTCCCATCGGTGCAATGCCAGTCCACTCCGCGGTGCTTTCGCACTTCTCTTGCGCGGCTTTGGGCACTTCGATTTTTGCTGTGTCAATGCATTGACACTCCTCTTTCTCTTTTTCGGCTTTGTCTAGCTTTTTGACGAACTCATAGCGTTTGGTGTAGGGCGGCACGTAGTCGTGTTGGTAGGTGGTTACAAGCATTTTGCTAGGTTTTTCGTGTTAGTTTAAAGTAACAGCTGCACTTTTTAATTTATTACTGAAAATTTAGCAATTTTTTTTTTTACAATTTAAATTTTATTTATTATTATGCAAGAGTTTTTTTTTTGCTAGAAAAACAAGATAGAAAATAATAGTTTTTTATTTATAATTTTTAAATATGAGTTTGATAAAAGTGAAATACAAAAGAAAAAAATATTGATTGACAAAAATTTCATGTAAGAGCAGTTTGTGTAGCATGATTTTTATACCCCCAAGAAAGTTTCTTGGGTCTGCCGTGAAGTTTATAAGACACAGAAGGAAAGGAAGGAGACACTGTGTAATAAATAAAATAATAAATGTAAGCGTGACAAGCTGAGTCGATTTAGCCTTGTCTGTTTGTCTGTCCACCAGTCTTTGTACGTATGTATTTAATCAAACTAGCCTCATCTTTTGAGGTATCGTTCTGAAATTTTGCACATATCTTTTTGTAACCAAGAAGCTGCTCATTTGTCGGAAGCGCTTATATCAGACCACTATTACATATAGCTGCCATACAAAGTAACCGGTCGAAGTCAGATGATTCTATGGGAAACTTTTTTGTTTGACAAGATATCTTCACTAAATTCGGCATGGATTATTGTTCAATGTAACTGCAAAATCTCCAAAGAAATTGTTCAGATCGGACCACTATTGCATATAGCTGCCATACAAACTGACCGGTTCAAATCTGGTCCTTCTATAGGAAACTTTTTTATTTTACGAGATATATTCACGGAATTTGGCATATATTATTGTCTACAACGACGCTACAATCTCCATATTAATTCTTCAAATCGAACCACTATAGGTGCCATACAAACATCCCGATCATAATTAAGTCTCTGTATGAAAACCTTTTTTTTACTGAACGAGATGCCTTCACAAAATTTGCCTCGGTTCAATATCCAAAGAAATTATATAGGTTGGACTACTATAGCATTTAGCGGCCATACAATCCGAACGAGATATTTTTATACCCTTTTATATTCTTAGAAATCCACCTGTCCAGGGTGTAATCGAAGTTAACGTGTTTTGTTTTATTTTTTTGGTAAACATTTTATAACGTTTTTTGTGTGTGTTGAATAAGTGCAGCAAAACGTGCAGAAATGCGCCCCGTTGCTTTGACTTGGTGAACTGTTGAACGAGTGTACTTATAAATTATTGTAAATATTGCATAAAATTGGTATTTTGGATAAACTATCATTTGTCATGGACATCAAATATACATTCATCATTACCCGCTTTCTTATACAATTATGCGTGACGTTTTCGATTAAATAAGCGAAATTCCAATTTTTCCCCCTCGTCATGTAGGAGGATACATCACCCGAAATCAACATTCGCTTTGGCACCGAGTGCCTCGTTTTGGATTCCTGGGCCGTACATCATCAATATTCGGCGCTATGCACCATTATGGGTCCCGGCATGACATCACAGCTGCAAGAAAACGATTTCATACGCGACATCTTTCAACTGGGTCCTAAACTTGTCGATGATGGACACGCTAAAACCAAACAATCCAAACTGGAGCGCGTAAGTCTACACATACTTACATATATAAACATATATTTTCCAAAATGTAAATGAAAATCTTTTACTGCAGCACTTATTAAACGCCGCCGCCTTCAAGGCACGCACAATAACGCGTGGCAAAAATCGCGACAAACGCTGCAGTTATAATTACTAGGCACACAGCTAATTGTTAGAGTATAGAAAATGGGAGAACGCTTAAACTAAGTAAAAAATAATAAAAACGAAACATATTTTGGAGAACACATACAACTGGCGGCGCGCCGTGTAGCGACCAGAAGTTTAGTTCAACTGTGGCGCATGCGTAGGATGACACTTGTGCAGTTTGCTGACCAATTAGTTGCTGCTCTGCACATGCAGCAGCCGTAAAGTGTATGCGCTAAAGTGTCGGCAGTTAGAGAATTTGCGTTTTTCTAACACGCTATTGCTTAACGTATTGCGTTTAATGTTGTTGCGTGCTCTAGCAGCGCTCATTCCTCAGTTGGCGTACGCATGCGCGCCACTTTTTGCGCCATTTGAATTTCATTGACGGTCAAACTGACGGATGCTTTACTGAATTTTTGTGTACATTTCATTTGCGCTCAATTTTTACCTCCCCCGACCCCCTTGGATTTATAGCAACGAATTTGTGTACACAAGATTTATGCAAATCTTACAATTAACTTAAATTTATGTAGCAATTTTATGATATGAAACTGTATTGAAGTAAAAGAAAAAACAAAAACAACAACAAGTAAATATAACATACCACTTACAAAACAATATACATATTTACATACATATATATAAAATAAAAAAATGCTAGTTGAAATTTATTTAGTTTCTAAACATGTTTACTTACATACATACTTATATATACAAGCATACGAGCTATATTACTAAAAACGCTGTACGAACTATTATGTTCAAGTTTTGTTCTTAAATTCCACAAGAGAGAAGCTGTAAAATAATAAAACAAAACACAAAAAACAACAAATATTTAAATACTTTGATGAATTTTTTTTATATTATATGCATATATTTTGCTTACAATAACTTTGGCTTAATTATTCTGTTGCTGAATTAATTTTATTCACTGTAACTTCTGAAATAAAAACGTTAATGAAATGACAAGCGCATTGCAATTCTTCAGAAATACATATGTATATAGGTTTATGTATATTATATAAGCACAAGTAAGCGGATTTTGCCTAAAAAATATTTAGGATTATATAATATATTATTAAAACTTACCAAGTACTAAATATATTTAATGTTAAGCGAAAACTAGCTGTTAATTTGCATTGATTTTTGGCCAACTTGCGCTGTCAAGCAGTCAGCAGCGTAAAACTGTGTTGAGTTGACGAAATTTTGTCAGTTGCGAGTGTCCTGCCAGACTTTTATTGCATTGCTGAATAATATAAAACGCGTTTGTAAAGTCTAGTTATTTAATTTAACACGAATTTTAATATATAAGTTTTAACCACACAGTTCACATTGTTGTTCAATAATTTTTTAAATTTTTTTTTAAATAAAATTTTCTTTTTACTAATAATTCCACTGTAAAAATGCCAATTAATAATAATTAGTAATTATTTCGACCTTTATTATTGACTATATGTATGCCAATTAATTTTTGACTTATTTAATATTTTTTAGATTTTTTTAATCAATTTTAGTTTTTATTTTCACTAATTATGCCCCTTCCTATTGAAATTTCTTTTTTAATTCCACTGTAAAATGTTAATTATTATGACCTTTATTATTAACTATATGTTTGCAAATTGAGTTTTTGTTCATAACCTCAAAGTAATTTCACAATATCGCAAAACAAACACTTAGTTGGATTAATTTTCTTTAGTGAGCTTGTAAAGAGATGAGAGTAAATTTATTGTTAAAAATCTTCTTTCTCTACCAAAAAAGTTACAATTTTTGTTACATATCGCTGTTAAAATCTGCAATACCTTTATTTATTATTAACTACTTTAATTTGCAAACTCGTAACTATAACGGAGAATTTAGTATTTCATTATAACCTAAAAAAATGTCAAAAGTTTGCATAAAAGCTTAATTTTTTTTATTACAACCTAAAAAAAACTAAATTTTTTAAAAAAGGCCCTTTTTGTTTATCATATCTTAAAAATTTTTACAAAATAAAAAAGTCGAATACTATTTTATTTTTAAAACAAGTCGAATTAACATTAATCTAACGTTATTGTTATAATGCAAGATATTTTGACCTTTTATTTGGTATTTTTATTTGCGAACTCGTTGCTACATCAGCAATTTTAGTTTTTGATCATAACCCAAAAATTAAAAAAATTGCAGAAAAACCAAATTGTTTTTACTCTAACCTAAAAAAATTTAGAAATTTTTTGTTAACCATAAGTTAAAAAGTGTTCAAAGTTTTGAAAACAGTCTATTTTTGCTTATCATAAACTATAAAATGTTCAAAATTTTGAAAAAAAAAAATTTAAAATTTTACATAAAAGCAAATTTTATTTTTGAAAAGATTTCGGAAGTTTGCAATAAATGCCAATTTTTTTATTATCACCAAAATTTCTTGTAAAGTAGCTAAAGGCAAGCTTATTACTGTTAATTTCTCTTCTTATGACGCTTTGAAGAATATCTTTTAATGCTATTATACGCGCATTATTGGTCCCATAAAATAGCTAATTTTAATAAAATCGAAAAGTGTCTAAAAATTGACAAACTCAAATTTCGTCAACTCTCAAAAATATCGAAAAATACTGTTATGAGTGGTTTTATGAATTGCGTTATATTTTATTATTATAGTTTTAACTTCTTGGAATTTTTAGTTTTAACTGGTTTTTACTTTTCCGTTAGTTCTAGAATTCCGAAATCCTTATTAAAAGCAATGAGTACTATGAAGCATGCATAATTAATTGTTTATAATTTGATTCTAGTCTCGAACTCTTCACTATTTCACGTTATCCCTACCGGATAATCCAGATCTTATAGAAATAGCTAGTAATTTTAGCAGAAAATAGATTTTTTTTTTAACAAACCAACGCGTGACTAACTACTCGCATGCGGTTAATCCCTTTTTACTTTCTTTGTTTATTTTTAAATTTAATTTCTTTATAGAAATATTTTTTTTTTTTAAATCTTGGTTTTTTTTATGAATTTTTTTTTTATTCTGAAATATTTTTTTTATTATATAAAAATATATATTTTTTTTCATCTTTTTTTCTTTTTGTCAAATAAAAATATAAATGCTTACTTTTCCTGCCCTGCAATGGCTGTAAATTATCACGGTAACCGAAGTTGCTGGGATTATATAACGCAACACACACATTTTTTTTTACTGATTAAGTGTATCCGAAGTAGCTAGCAATAAGCGAGAAATAAAAATTACTTAGCTCTTAAGATAAAAGGTTCAATTTGATGTGTTCGTCCTTTGTGACTATCCACGCATATAGAATGAGTCAGTTGCAGCACTATATTATAACGTGCTCATTGTTAGCATATTCTTATTATTTGTATTTATTTTATTAATTTTTTATTTATTTTAATTTTTTCAATTGTAATTCTTGAATTGCACAAAATTTATTTTAAGTAAACTATAATAAATAAGTAAATAATAAAAAAGTCACTAAAGGACCAAAATATATAATGTTGAAATGTCAAAATTAAAATAATCTAGCGCTCACAGTGGCATTGTTCTACATTTACGGCTGTTAAATTCATTTAATATTTGGCAGCGGGCATGTTTTGTGATCTTTAAAATTTAAACGTATTTCAATTATTATTTTTTGTTCACAACACCCAATATTGCAATTACTTAATTGTGACACATAGCAATAGTTTATGTAAATATATTTTATTTTTGTTGTTTTTTGAAATATTCACATATTACAGTAGCATATAAATAAATATACAAGATACTACATATAAATATGTATTCAATAAATAAATTAGCAGCCGAACTATTTTTTAATTTAGCTGTTTGTATATACAGAGTAAAACATAAATAGTGAACATTAAAAAAAAAACAAAAAAAAAACAAAAAACCGCCATAGGCACCAAAAAAAATTTAAATAAAATAAAACAAGCGTAACTGTATAGTTTGAAATAAAGCAAATTGAAATGAAATAAAAAAAAAAACCAAAACGGGTTAAAGGAGACCGTAATATTTTTGTGTTTTTATTTCTAGGTTATGCTTGCATATTTTACGGTTTGTGCTTTTCTAAGGTCCCGTAGGTGCCTTCAGTTTAAATAGTTTTTTCAGCGCTTTAAATTTCCTTATAACCTTAAAAAATGCTTTCACTAAGTAATTTCGTTTGTTGACAACATCTCATCTTAACTATTGAATTTTTTCGCAGCCAACTTTACAATTAACCGCTTTACGGTTATATTTGAACAGCTGATATAGTAAGTAAATCTTGTTTGTATAGAAATTTCTAAAAGTTTTTAGAGTAGATTTTGTTTGGTAGTCAGTCTATCGAAGATAAGAAGATCGAAAACATCATTTTCGGTATACAGTCAAAAGGAAATCAATGCTTTTCGAGGAAAGCGAAAATTATGTGATGGATACGGAGAAGATGTATTGAACGAACGCCAATGGAAAAATTAGTGGGCAAAAAAAGCCGAACGTCGAATTAAATCGTCGAATAACAATTACAGAGATTGATGAACGATTTAATTTGTCTAAAGTAAACGTTCACAATCACATGAAACGTCTAGGATTGATTTCGATGCTTAACATCTGGGATTCTCATGTTCTTACAGAACGAAATTTGCTTCGTCGCATTAACGACTGGGATTTGTTCGACCCACGAAAGTGTAAATCCCAAGCGATTGTGGTCTAAAAAGGATGCACCAGTTCAAACAACTTCGACGGCTTATCTGCTTGGTGAGATTTCAATAGGATCGTTTATTTTCAACTTTTGCTCGACAATGCCACGATTAATTGTGAAGTGTGACGAGCTGGACAAATTTATTGATGCACTCAAATAGAAGAGATCAGAATTGATCAATAGAAACGGTGTAGTTTTTCAGCAGGATAATTTGAGATCTTGCACAAGTTTGATGAATCACCAACAGTTTTTGCAGCAACCACATCCACCATATTCACCAGACTTGGCATCTTCGGACTATTTCTTGATTCGGTGTTTCAAAAATTTTTGGATGGGAGAACCTTCGCCTTAAATCAGGACATCTAAAACCCCTTGGATCAGTTTTCTGCCTACAAGTGTAAAACGTTTACGAGCGTGGAATCAATCTCTTGGCTGAAAGATGACAAAAGCAATTGAAACAAAATGGAGAATAAATGTATAATTTCTTTCTTTTCGCTGTAGCCAGGTCCTTCACTGTCTGGTCTTTTCCGATGCAGTGCTTCTTCTGCTTGGTACTGTTGAGACTCTCAGAGTTGGAACGTTTTCATCCATTCGGTCGGCATACCCTAGCTAGCGTAGGCGCTGTTTCATAATTCGTTGAACTACATATGTCAATGTTGTCGTATATCTCGCACATCAAGAAACCATAAATCTTCCGCAGTTCCGCAGACCCTTCCTCTCGAAAACTAGTAACGCCGACTCATCAGGTGTGGTCATCGTCCGTACCTCAGCAGCATATAGCAGGACGGCATGATGAGTGACTTGTAGAATTTGTTCGTTGAGAGAGGACTTTGCTTCTCAATTGCCTACTCAGCACGTGTTGCCAAGAGTATGACTGTCAACAGTGACGTGGGAGCTAAGTCGCGAGTGCAAAGACTGTTTGTTTGATGACAGGAAATATTTTTGTATAAATAAATATTTACATATACATACATATACGATTTTAATTACGAAAAGCATAGCCAAAGTATTGTCTATCGGAATCGAAAACATTTGTAAACTCCGTTCTAAGAGATCTGCGCAACTTTGGTGAAGCCCAATTTGTCCAGGTGCTGTTTTCCAAATAATAAATTTTGTCTCGTTTATAGTCGCAAGTTCAGGGCGTTTTTTGATCCTTCTTTTTAATGATGGGTTGTTATCCGTAACGTTCTTCATTAAAGATTTCATCTATTCTTAATATTATTTTGACGTCCTGGATATTCGGATTTTTTGATTCGGTTAAGGTTCCTTTCCAGTTACGTAGACTCGACAGTCGTGGGAACAAAAAAAAGTCTTCCACTTTGGCACCGGATCACACCTCCACCATATTCTTCAGAAGTGGACTCCTGCGACTATTTTCTGATTGCAAACTTAAAAGTCACTCGCCGCACAAAAGTTTGAGTATAATGACGATTTTATCACCGTCATTAGAAGCCACTTTGAAACTCTCCAAAAACAAGTATTTGCAGAAGAGTTGGTGCAGATTGGCTCTAGAGTATTGAGTTGAAAGGAGACTGTGAAAAAAAATCACAATTTTTAGCTTTTATTTGGAAAGCTAAGTACTTTTCGGATAAAAAAAAATACTTCCATATCTTAATCAACAACATTTTCACAATTTTATTCTGCCACTACTTGAAAATACCGTCTCTTTTGCTAGTAATTTATCGTTTCGCTTCTTCTCGAAAGCATCTCTCATATAAATTTCTGCTTGTCCAGTAGCTGTTTGATGCCATTGATCTCTCTGTTCATAAACATCTTTCATCAGTTCGTCATATTCAATACCGGTCTGTGCTGATATAGAACGCACCGCAGCCTCCATCCTTTTATCTGCTTTCTTATGCGGACATGGCAAGAAATTGAAATCATCGCTCTCGATCAGTTCGTCAATACGCCGTTGCTTTTCGTCGGTTATAGTAATTGGTATAAGTTTGCGATCTAATAAATGACCGAATGGTAATGCTGAGGTCCATTCTAATTGCATTGGTAACTCAGAAACTTTGTCGTTCTCAAAATTTTCGGATGGTTCCTTCTCTAGCCTTTGCTCTCGTTGTGCTAAAATTTCAAACGCTTTTGTGGGATTTATGGGGACGTAGAGACTTTTAAGGTAATAATTGTATTGCCTTTGAGGCCAGGCAAACTCACGGTCGTAGGTGGTGTACATTTTTTTAATTAGATTACTATCTAAGTATTTATTTATTTTGTTTAACACTTTTAATTTGGTTTCAAATAAATTACTAAATACTTCTGTATACTTTTATGTTTTATAAAAAAAAAATAAAGTAAATATCATATTTGACATGATTTTCGAGGTTGGCTTTATTTTATGTTTAATGTAACATATTAGTCTAAAGAGCCTTAAGTCAACCTATAGCAAAGAGTTCTTTAATTTTCTATCTGATCAAATTTGACCCGGACTGACTTTCATGTAATACAAATCTTTTGCCAATATAAGCATACCAACGCTGTAAATGGTTTTCCAAATTATCAAATTTGACCCGGACTCATTTTCATGTACGACAAATTTTTAGGATACTTTGACTCAATACAATAGTACCAGTCTTTAGGCTACTTTGAACCAATACAGAGATATCAACGCTCAGAATTCATGGATTTTCCATATGATCAAATTTGACCCGACTGCCTTTCATGTAATACAAATCTTTAGCTGAGCCAATACAAGCATACCAACGCTCAATCAAATTCTCCATACACTTGCTATAAGCCCTGACTGGAATGAACTTCAGCGGTTATTTTTTTTTTTTAGTTTCGAAAGCAGCGCCAGTCGCTAGATTTTTGGACAGTTTCGTCGTCAAATCTAAAGATCCACGTGTTATCGCCAGTATTGATGCGTTTAATGAATGTAGAGTTCTCAGCTTCAGGTCCTTTGCACGGCAATGCTAAAGACAGGCTTCATACCCAAATTATTAACCCAAATATTTCGAATCGATTCAAAAGAGATATTGAGATCCTCTGCTAAACCTCTGACACGACGCTTATCAAGCACTGTTTCTTTAACTTGTTTGATGTTATCGAGGTAACAGAAGTCATCGTCATCAAAATGATGATTCCATTTGAAAAGCAAATTTTTAAGCATACTTTTTGTTTAACATTTTTTTCTTGTTAAAAATTGCCATACAAACTTTTCATGTCGAAAGAAAACAGCCGCCAACACACACACTTGTTGAAATGTGGAAATCAAACCGGGTCAAATTTGATCAGATGGTATAACTGATCTCCTCAGCTAGCTCTTGATCCAAGTGACGCCAAGTCCTACTATCTGAGACGTAGCCGCAGCCAACATGATACTAAACATTTCTCATTAAATTTGAACCTGGAAATGGATTATCTTTTATATATGAATCCGTCGGTCAAAAACCAATCGTCGGTCCTAAAACTATTATAATTTGTCTTCAGTTAGCAATTTCTGGAATAAATTTAGACTGACCTTTCTAAAACTGGACAGAAGAGCACCTAAATTAAATTTTTTGGACGTTTACTGTTTTTTTTTTATTGATTTTGCTTAAAAGTATTTAGGAAATACATACATATGGAGCACAGAAGCTTATTCAATACTGTGGCCATGCAGACCTGGCAGCAATGAGCTGCAACTGGTTCCATATATATATGTTTCGATATACTAAAACATATTTATTTTCGTAACTAATATTTGCATTTGTGTCACACTTTCTTCCCCTTATATGTAGGGTCCCCTTTGAGATAGTTTTTTGACTAAACTTCTAACGCATTTGGTTTGTAATCTCATATGTAACATCTTAGTGAGCTTCTCTTTGTAGTTTCATCACAGATATGCTTGCCCATGATGCTTCTATACAATTGCGGATATGTCGCAGACATGGAATTTTCATAGAATCGATTCAACTTTAATTCCTCACATTTGGGAATAACATTTTCTTTCATGCCACGATGTTGTTCGGCTGTTATGTGTAAGGGAAGTATTCTCTCACGACACTGTGCGATATTCTTCGAATCTAGTCGTAACCAGTCGGGCAACTCACAAGTTTCACACTGCCCGTATGGATCATTTTTATTTGGTACATGCACATCGATGATGGCGCATCTTCTGTAGACATTTTCCCGTTCCCTCAAGAATAGTGGGTCTATTTCATTTCGCGGTAATGCAAGTGGTTGGTAGTCACTACGATAGGTAGTCGTACCGCACTCGCATATTTTTGTGGCATTAGCATCATCCAGCGTTAAGTGATACATCATGCGAATATTAGTGTTCACTAGCTCATCTAGTATGCGAAAAAGATGTTCATGATAGTCTGCTTTTGCTTGATTTTAAATTTATATTTTGTCCATCAATTAATTTCTGATTTTTTTCTTTATATTGATTTGAGAAATAAATATTTAAAGGTTCTGAATTTCATTTTCATTTTATACAATGCTGATGTGATAAGGAGGATAGTGTCATGTGTAGAAAATTACGCAAGTGAGGAATGTTTTCTGAGCACCATTCAATTGGGTGTGGCCAGAAACAATTCTTTTATATATAGCACGACTTCCGGTTTAGACCAAAAACATCTGTTCGAAGGCGAGCTAAAGTAAGAAAGCGAATCATCCTTCCCCAGGGTTGTGTGCTGAGTTTGTGAACCGGCATATAAAAAACGCCCACAATGAAAAGGAAACAGCAACCTCGAATGAGAGACCTCCGTTTTCATGACGACCACTGCAAGCGCACTAAGGATTACTATTTAAGGACATGCACCTGGAATGTTCGGCTCCGCAATTGGCAAGGTGCCGCTGCCTGGTTGATGTCCTATTAAGAATTAAGGCTGACATCGTCGCCGTTCAAGAAGTGCAATGGACGTGACAAGGCCTGAGACAAGTAGGTTTACTACAGTGGCAATGTAAAGCAGCGCAAAATCGGTGTGTGATTCATCGTATGAGAGAGACTTCGTCGCTGAGTCCTGTCATGCACCGTGGCGGATGAACGTCTAGCCACAGTTCGCATCAAAGCGAAGTTCTTCAAAATATTGCTTGTAAAATGTTGGCGATACGACAGTGCTTGGTAGAATAAAAATCGGGTCTAAAAAGATACATCTGCGATTAGGTGTATGGTTTTTAATGAGGCAATATATTTTTTGGAGCTGGTCTTTTTGACAGCTGTTACTTGATTTATAGTCAGTGTGGTTTGCCATTTCATATAGAACAGGCTTTCTCTGGAACAACATTGGCAAATCGTTCAAATTTATTTCCAAAATAATGGTTTGATTCGCGCGAAACATCGCACGTCTAATATTCGATCAACAAAATTGTTCAGTATAGTCGATAATTCTAGCAAGCATAGTTCAGTTTCATATCTCTACAATAAACTAGTAGATAATACGTATCCTCAGAGACGCCGTACAAGATCTTGTACCACAAGGCTTACAAAATACAACTCGTGGAAGAATTGAAGTCGAACGACCATCAAGCGCATCGCACGTTCGGTGAAGTGGTCCCGAGTTTTACACGAGAATTTCATTCGACGTTGAACCTCACTTTTGGTTTAATGTGTACTTCAATGAAGAAAATTGTCGCATTTGGAGTGATGATTGGGAGGGTTGAGAAGCCGTTAAAACCTCAAAAGGTCAATGTTTGGTGTGCTCTATGGGCAAGAAGAATCATATTTCTTTAAAAAATAAAGCCGGTCATAATGTTATAGTCAATGAGGACTACTATAGAGCCATGATTAATGGCTGGTTCATGCCTGGAGTGGTGAATACAGTCAACGAAAAATTGAATTTATTGAAGGAAACTTTTGTTGAGCACATTATTTTTCGTGGTGGGCCTGTGGCCTCCCAAGATCGTGCAATTTAACACCCTTGTACTTTTTTTGTGGAGTTATGTGAAGTTGTTTGTATTCGCATATAAATAATCCCAAGACGATTGTGACCTGGGAAAGGAATATTCGGCGTGGAATTTCTTCGAGCCAACCGCGGCGGTCCCTTGCCCGAAAGCATCTTTAAAAGATAATGGCAAACCCTGGCAGATTCTTCAGAATAAAACTGAATCCTTTGAAGTCGAAACGTACTATTTGTTCAATTATAGTATGTATTTTTCCCTAGAAAAAAAAAACGGATCAATCACGCGGGAATGGATATCATGATGAGATCCTTCAAGTCTTTTAATTTAACTCTACTTCTTTTTTTTATATAGAGCTCGAAAATGAAAATTATGTTCGAGCAGTAAACCATTGACTGATTGACTGCATCCAGAAAGAAGTAGCATTATTAGATTCGATAGATTTATTTAGGGCCGAACGGAACACCTTATTGGACTCCTTGAAAAAGATTTCCGATATTGAGAGTAGATAACGGATATTGTTTCCAGAAATAGGTAGAGATAAGATAGAATTTAGAGTCGAAAGAAACATTTTACTGAACTTCCTCAAGAAAAAACGTCTGATATTCAGAGTGGAGAGCATACACATTCACTGATTTCTTTGCTGTTTCTGAGCCAAAGCCGAGTCCTGGCAGAAAACGTTAGATGCGATTAGATTAGATAGGGTGCTTTAAGATCGATGAAATTATATTATTGTCGATATTCGACCACATTTTCCCGAAGAAGTCAATTCCAGGGAGTTTAAGTTTAAACATTACTAACGTAGGGTGAGTTTCCACAGTTTCAACTTTAATTAATTTACACGAACATCAAATTTTATTTCCAAATTGAACAAGACAACAAATTAAATGATATTCTGAATATCATAATTCATATACAATTTCGACTCGGCTAAGTACTGCGAACCAACAGCACTAATACTTTACACTTTGCGCATTATAAGGACATGTACGTTGATAGAGATCGCTTTGTGCTTGCGGCATTTTTTCATTTTCCGGATAAATGAATTGCCATGGCGAAAAGCGTACCTTATGATAATAATCACTACGCGTAGCCGGATCCGCGACCAACGGAGCTTCGTTCACATCATTTTCATCACTCTTTTTCATCCAATCGAATTCCAATTGTTGTTCGCCTTTACGGATTTGTGGTGCGAAATACTGTGAACTGGGTGTGGAGATCCATTCCACTGTATTTGGACCATTGATATCCACTAAGGCGACATGTCGTCTCCACGGTATACCGTCTCTGCATTGCGCCAGCCAGTTATATGGTTTGCTCTGCTGCTGATTTTGCGCATTATTTGCATTTGCATAATACAAAAAATCATATCGAACATTGTAGGGCTTGAAATCATTTTGGTATGTGGTTTCCAAAGACA